TTTCAGAAATAGATTACTAGGGCTTTCTCCCAATGTGCCTCTGGGTGAACTTGAACCTCCAATCTTTTGGTTAGCAGCTGAATGTGTTAATAGTTTATAACACCCAGGAACTCCTATATATACATACGTATGTCTATATATGCATATACAAGGAGCTCTGGTAGCATCCTGCCTAAGACATTTGACTGCTAACCAGAAGGTTGGCAGGTCAAACTACCAGCTACTCTGCGGAAGGAAGACTGGGCAATCTGCTTTTGTAAAGACTTACTGCCTTGGAAACTCAAAGGGCGTTGCTATGAGTCAGAATCAACTCGATGGCAGTGAGTTTATTTATTTTTTTAAAATACATATACATATTCCAAGTTTGTTTTGATACCAGTCACTATAAGATACATTCCACGTTAGAAGAACTCACCTAAGCTTCTATGGTAAGGAATCTGATTTCTGACATAGCTCAAGATGACAGCGAAGATGAGAATGGCTAACAAATATTGAGCACTCGCTGTGTCCTAGGCTGTGCACTAAAGCTTTTACATGCTCTAATTAATCCTCACAGCAAGGCTGTACAGTCTCCCCACTTCACAGATGCAGAGACTGATGCTTAGAGGCATTTAATGACTTCCCCAAGATCACAGTAGAGAGGGGATTCTTCATCATCACACTATACCACCACCTGACACAGGCTCCTCCACAATGGCTTCCACATTTGGACTGATTAGCACTTCTTACCATCAACTAGGGAGCTCTGGTAGCATAGTGGCTAAGACACTTGCCTGCTAACCAGACGGCTGGTGGTTCAAACCCACCAGCCACTCCCCGGAAGGAAGGTTGGGCAATCCTACTTCCGTAGTGATACTGCCTCGGAAACCCAAGGAGGGGTCGCTATGAGTCGGGTTTGACTCGACGGCACATAACAACAACAACAACCACCATCAACTAGAGGTGCTCTAGTGGGGCAGTGGTTAAGGGATTCGGCTGCTGACTAAAAGGTCAGTGATTCAAACCCACCAGCCACTCTGTAAGAGAAAGATAAGGTAGTCTGCTTCCACAAAGCCTTGGAAACCCTATGGGGCAGTTCTCCTCTGTCCTTTAGGGTTGCTATGAGTCAGAATCGACTCAATGGCAGTGGGACCATCAATTATATACTTATTATACAAGGACAGAGGAGCTCTGATGGTGTAGTGGTTAATGCATTTGGTAACCAAAAGGTCAGTGATTCAAACTCAATAGCCCCTGCACAGAAGAAAGATGAGGCAGTCTGCTTCAGTGAAGATTAATAGTCTTAGAAACTCAATGGGTGTATTTAGGGGTCAGAATCGACTCAATGACACTAAGTTTGGTTTCAGTTTACACAAGGACAGAGTAGTGGACAAGACAGGGAGATTCCCCAAGTTCATCAAGCTTATGTTCTAGTTGAAGAGATAGCCACAAAAAAGATAATGAGGGAACCAGAGAGCAGCGGTATGTGCTAGGGAAGAAACAGATTTGTTAGTAGGAATAAGGGTTACTTTAGGTAGGGGAGCAGGAAGGGCCTCCCTGACTTGGTGACATCTAAGCAGAGACCTGTATGACTAGCAGCAGCCAGCATGGGAAGACCTGGGGCTGAGAGGACTGCAAACGCAAAGGCCTGGGAAGGTACAGAGCTTGGGAGCCGAAGACATGAGACCAGCCCTCTCCTGGCTTTCTGTTGCCTGATTCTGTACATTATTGTTTCTGATTAAGGCAGCTTGTGATGGCTTTTATCACCAGCCCAGAGCAGGCACAGTTTTCTCCCTAAACCCTCTATCTGCTCACACACTTCTGGGCTTTTCTAGCTTGATCCTCTCTCACTATCAGGCAGCTGAGGGTCTAGGCCAAATGCAAGCCCATGTGGATGGTCATTTTGGGACAGCATACTGCCTTATACAAGAAATAGAAGGACTATGCCAACAAATGGAGAGTCACCTATCTCTACCATAAGTCAGACACTTGTCTTAAAACAAGATGGAGGTGCTATGTATTCTTACATGTATATTCACATGTAGTTCCTGGGTGGAGCAAATGGTCAACATGCTCGGCTATTAACCGCAAGGTTGGAAGTTTGAGTCCACCCAGACGTGAAGTACGATGTTGGTGAGAAATATTGACTATACCATGGCCTCCAGAAAAATGAACAAATCTGTCTTGGAAGAAGTACAGCCAGAATGCTCCTTAGAAGTAATGATGGTGGTCCTACTTTGGTGAGTAGTGACTGGGGTCTTAAAAGCTTGCAAGTGGCTATCTAGATACAACGATGGGTCTCTCCTCATGCACAGCAAAGAAGAATGAAGAAAACCAAAGATGCATGGAAACAATTAGTCCAACGGACTAGTAGACCATGTGATCCTCAGCCTATATGACCATGAGACTAGAAGAACTAGGTGGTACCTGGCTGTCATCCTCAACCACTCACAGGGTGGGACTGGTGCAGGAGATCTTAGATAAAGTGGGAGAACAATGTGGAACAAAACTCAAAATTATAAAAAAAAAAAGAAAAAGAAATTAAAGACAAGGTTTGCTGGTACCATGGCCCCTAGTTACCCTTGAGGTCTGGAACTGAACTCACTCTTGTGGCTTCCAGCCAAACAGTAGACAGGCTTATAGGATGAACATTTATATCAGGTAGATACACTCCTTGGAGCGATGAATCATGGGAGAACAGAAGGGCAGTGTCTGCACGGGGAGACAGCTGGGGGTGGGGCAGGAAGGGAAGAACACAGGGAAGAGGTAACTATGGGGAGGAAGTGGGAAGAGAGATGTTGCACTGTGGGGAATTGTAATCAATGTCATGAAACAAAATGTGTATGAACTGTTGTATGGAAAATGAATTTGCTCTGTAAACTTTTATCAAAATCACATTAAAAAAAAAAAAAAAAGCAGCAATGATGGTGAGACTTTGTCTCACATACTGTGGACATGTATGTTATCAGGAGGAACCAGTCCCCGGAGAAGGACATTATGCTTGGCAAATAAAGGGTCAGTGAAAAATCAATTAGATGGACTGACAGGCTCCAGTGATGAGCTCATGCAGGATGGAGCACAACTGGGCAGTGTTTCGTTCTATTGTACACGAGGCTGCTACAAGTCAGAACTGACTCTGTGGCAGCTGTGGTGTAGTAAATTACTTAGTATGGCTTTTCTACCCATTAGTCTTTGTAAACTCCAAGGTGGGATTTTCTATGAGCAACTGAGGAGCTCCTGATTGCTGAAGTTGTCCACCTGGAGTATTTCGGTTGGGAGTGGCACAAAACAATGTTCTGAGAGGTGCCCACTCTCTCTCAAGTGCTTAAAGTTCTGATGCTATGATTGGCTAGTTTGACCACCCTGCCAGGCTCAAAAGGAGGCCTCCTAGAGGCAGAACTCTGACTGCTGGTTGAGGAAGACGTGCTGCTGAAAGAGACACAGGCTCCTGAGACACGCATTGCTGGGAAACAGACACAAGAGACACGCATTGCTGAGTGAGACACCGAGGGACCAGCACTGCTGGGAAAAAGACTGTGAGAGACTGTTGGCTGAGGCACAGTGGGCTGGGAGAGAGACTGAGCATTTTTCCTGAACTTGAATTGTAGCCTGTGGTGCTTCCCTAATAAACCCCATAATCTGTGAGCTCTATGTGGCCGCTGCAGCGAATTATTGAACCCAGGAGAGAGGTGGTGGGTGCTTTGGGAGGAACAGTTGGTGAAAGGGCTAGAGGGAGGCAGCATGTCTGGCCTGGCAGGAATAGGCCTTGGGTTACTGATGGTGATTCTGTCTTCCTCTTGTGGGATTAGAGGAGGTCAGAACATGTGGTCTCCTTGCCATTTTTGTGGCACCTAACAACAGACATGCCTCAGAAGAAAGGCCTGGCATTCTACTTCTGAGAACTCAACCATTGAAAACTGTATGGAGCACAGTTTTACTGACACACATGGCGTCACTGTGAGTTGAAGTCAACTCGATGGCAACTGATCTGACTGCTTTAGCATGAACAGGTTCAGACCTAGCTGGAAAGCAATAGGGTAATATGAAACAAACGCCCTAAGTATCTGAGGCAGCCTCATGATGGGGAAAAACTAGAACAAAAGAAACTTTTAATGGTAAGAAAATGCCTTCTAAAGTATGGCAAAGCTGCTAGCTGTGCAACTCAATGACAACTGGAAAACATAAAAATGGTGGTTATGAAATTGTCAAATACAAAAATTAGAACATAAACTGTAACTCTGAAAAAAATGACTTCTGTCATGGACAAACTCAAAGGGACACAAAGAAATGAAGTTTGACTTGCTGAGGCACACATCAGGGATGAATGTGCAAGGGTCTAAGACCCCAGGTATGTGGGTACACATAGAAGGTGTGTGCGCACGTGTGTAGATGTGTGAATGGATAGGTAGGTGTAAGTGCATGCATGTAAATGTGCATATGTGAAGGTACATGTGTATGCACGCACACTCTGCCAGTGTGTGGAGAGGTGAGGTCTCTTTAATTTGAGTTGAGGTGACAAGGTGCAGGGAACTGAGGAAGGAGAAGACTCAGTGAAGAGCCACTCAGGTGGGAGGGATTCAGGAAGGAGAAGAGGGAGGGGTGCCCAAGGAGGTCAGACCTGAATGAGGGTGAGCCCTCTTTCAGCCACCTACAGACCCGTTCTCATGGTGCAACTTCGAGCTGGAATAAACCCTGGCTGTGCCACCACTCCTTGTGGAATCCTAGGTGATTACCTCAATGAAGAATAATGTGGTAAGGATAACAATAACAAAGGTAATAGCTGGCCTTGAGTAAGCCCTCATGGTGTGCCAAGGGCTTCCACCTCCTTCCCCTGGGGACAAATCACTTTTCTTCCCTACTCTATAAGAAAGGGATATTTCTATGGTCTTCCAGGCCAGGCTACGGGAAAGGAGTGAGGCGACGTCCAGAAAATATTATCAGTGAGTGCTTGGCGCACGTTCCCTCCCCTGCCCTCTCCTTTTTCTCCTGCTCTACTGGGACTTCGGGGCAGGGATACATACGGTTTGAGTTAAGTCTGTCTGCTCCCCCGAGAGCGTTGAAAGCCCCCTGGACATTCTGGACCTGTGGAGAAGCACAGAGAGGAGACTGTTACCAGGAGGCCTGGCCGTGGGGGGACTGGGAAGGTGCAGCCTGGCCTGAGGTGCCTGTATAAATGGCATTCCAACCCATCCATATCAGAGAGAAGTTGTTAAAGTTACAAGCTGTTACAAGGACAAGTTACAGCATTGGATAGCACACAGTAGGTGCTAGTTTGTTGCCTTAAAACGTGACAGCTCTGTCCTGGGTTGTTGTTTTTAGCTGCATGTATAACAGAATGAAATGATGTCTGGTCTTGCACCATCTTCCAGCACTATATATATGGGACAATGTTCTGTTTTGACCACAGGGTCTTCATTGGCTGATTTTCGGGAGTGGATTGCCAGGTCTTTCTTCCTAGTCTGTCTTAGTATAGAAGCTCTGTTGAAACCTGTCCACCATGCATGACTCTGCCAGCATTTGGAATACATAGCATAGCTTCCAGCATCAGAGCAGCATGCAAGCCACTTCATGTCATCTCATTTAATGCCTCTAATGATAGATGCTTTTTTGTTTTTTAAATTTTTATTGTGATTTGGGTTAAAGTTTACAGTGCAAATTCACTTTCCATACAGCAGCTCACATACATTTTGTCTCATGACATTGACTGTAATCTCCCACAATACTACAGCTCCCCCCTCCCTCTCCATAGTTACCTCTTCCCTGTGTCCTTCCCTCTGTGCTCCCCTGCCCCCTGAGCTGTCTCCTCATGAATACACAATACATAGCCCTTCTATTCTCCCATGATTGATCTCCCCAAGGAGTGTATCTAC